CTTCCTTCCCCTTCCTGGCACACGGATCCTGGCAGCGCTTCCCAGCTCTGGATGAGGGTGCCTAGCTAGATGGCACGGCTGACTCCATGGTGGATGCACTGTCCATCAGGTGCAGGCTGATGCCTGCAGGAATCTGTTGCCCTTCAAAAAGTTTCTGGTGACCCTGCTCTTTCTCTTCGGAGCTAATCCCCCTTGCAACCTGCTGAGCTCAGGCTCTGACACTGTCCCCCGCTCGGGGAGATTGTCCCCCCAGTCTGCTCTTGGGACCCCCCTGCCTGCCGTAGGCACAGCCCAGCCGGTGGGTAGTGCCCCACAGCACTCGCAGCGCCAATGTGGGTCAGCAGCCGCTTACGGTTTCAAGTCAGCAAAGCCTGTCAGGTGCTGAGCGGGCAAAAGCACTTCTCTACTTTTAAGAGGCTTTTCCAGCCAATGGGAAGGAGGTGGCTGCCTGCCTCAGCCCGAATCCCCTGGTAATCCCGCTGCCCGGCTCCGGGCGCCCATCAGAGGGCTCCTTGCTGTTTGCCCCACCAGAACAGCGCACAGCAGGCAGGTGCACAGGAGGGTGGAGGAAATAACGGATTGGGGGGAATGTCTGCGATGAACTAAGCTGCTATCGAGCCGGGAGCGAGGGGAGCAGGGAAGGAGGTGGTGGGCCTGGAGCAGCAGCGAAAGCACAGCGAGAAAAAGCTGCATCAGAGGACACGAGGCGACATGCAGCAAGGAGTTGCAGGGTATTGCGCACTGCTTTAATATCAGAACCCTGAGTACAAGATGGGCCTCTATGTTAGCAAGAGGGAAAAAAAGGAAGAAGGCCGCTGTTTTTTTGCAGTCTCTCCAGGCTCTCTGTTTTTAAGGCACTCATGGAATTCCCAAGCCACTTCCCTAGCCACCTGCCAGATGAGTTGGAATGGTTTTATGACAGCAGCTTGGTCAAGGCTGCAGGATGTGTGCCCAGCAGTCAGCCCAGCCGGCACGCAAGGTAGAGCAACTGAGGAGGTGCCATCGGATGCAGCTTGCAGGGCCAGTCAGGGCTGGACCCAGCCGACCTGCTTTGGGGGGCAGACAGCACAGTGTCATCAGGACCCTCCTGCTGTGATCAGGAGCATCAGTCGGGTCATGGCCATCCTCCCCTAGCAGGGCATCCAGCCTGTCCCAGTGGAAGCAGTGGGAGCCAACACGCCTGCTGATGCTAAATCCTCCATATGATATATAATATATAAATAAAATACATATACCGTAGCAGCTGCCATGCATCAGGCCTGGTGCCCCAGTCTGGATTTGGCCAGGGATGAGCCAGTCACCTGCTACACTTGCAGAATCCCCTTTTCCTTTCGGGTCTCAGAGGGGTCAGGGTTCCTCATAGCTGTGCCCACAGGTAGGAGCTAGCCCCGGGCGTGCGCATGTCCCACAAGTGAAAGGCCCCTGTTTTAAGCGCCTAAGCCTCTTAGTGCCAGCTGGCCCCATGCTGCCCTGTCCGCTCTGCCGCGCATTCCTGGCAGCGGGAAAGGGGTGCACGCGGCACAGGGAGCGAGGAGCATGTGGGGGCTTTGGAGTGCTGGCACCTGGGGTTTAATTTCTATTAATACGGCTAATCGGCTAAAGCAGTCACTGCCGCTTTCACACCCTGCTCCGCAGTAGCTTTCACGCCCTGTTTCACCTCTGTGCCTCCGCTCCCACAAGGGCTGCCGCAGCACCCATGTGGTGCTGGTGGGGCAGCCCCTCGATGCCCATGGCCTGGCTGGAGGGGCTCTTTGGATGCCCAGCGTGGGGAGCACTTTCTTCCCCCCACCACGCCGGAGGGCGGCCCAGGGCATCCCTGGGGCGCGCAGCTCCGTGAAGGGGAAGCAGAGAAGATGGCTGCCAGGCCTTTCCTCATGCCTGAAGCCCAGCAGCTGTCCTGGCATGGTGGGGAAGGGCCCTCCATTTTACGCCAAGAAATGAGCTTTTGCTGCCCTCCCGTGGTAGGATAGCACAGGGTGGGGGCCAGCTGTGGGTCACCAAGGCCTGCTGGGACTGCTGCATGCCTGCCGGCAGCACCTGGATAGGCAGAAGCCCCTGGGCTGGGCTCCCAGACAGCCGCATGCATCGCTGCTGACACAGCATTCTTCATTTTATTTCAAGGCGGCCTTGGTTACAGCCATCAAATGAAAGCAAGGCAAGGAATCTGGACTGTCACGGCCCACCACCTTGCCGCTGAGGCTGTCCAGGTGAGAAGCAGGGAGATGCCTTTGTAAACCGACTTAGACACCAAAGGGGCCAAGAGCAGAGAGCTGTGCTTGCACATCCGTTCAGATGGACTCAATGTCTGGCTCCTATATACCTCACCATGGTGTTTATTTTGCAATAGCAAAAGGGCTATTCCATGAGTGCTCATCTCTGGCCACAGCAGGACGAGCAAAGCTTTGTCTCTGTCTTCCTGCAGGTGCTGCCCCATGATGATAACAGGTGATATTACCCATATGGCCCTTCAGCTCCCAGACCTCCATCATCCCCTCCTCTTAGGCCACCAGCACCAGTAACATCAGATTTCTTCCACTCAGTTACAACAACATCACACAGGGGAAGGCAATCCAAAAAGCAGCAAGGGCCTATTGCTGGCTAAAGCAGGCCAGTCAGGCAAGAGGCAGCCCCGTGTCCAAGAGGGCAGGGAGGCGACGAGAGAGGTCACTCCATGAGTGGCAGCACTAAGCTGCTGTCCAGCCGGTTCACAGAAGGTCACTTCTCTGTCTTTGCACTTCCCCGCTCTCTTCTCTGCTGTCTGCAGCCCTTCTTCACTGGATGATGGGCGCTGAGCGGTCATTGGTGACTGTGGGGCGCAGCTTGACTGTGGCAAATGGGTTGGTGCCTCTGAAAGGGGAAAGGAAATAGGCAACCATTAGGAATCTGCACAGACCACTCAGGGGACCTGCCAACCACGCAAAAGCTATTTAGTCCTGCTCGCCTGCCACCTCCATGCCAAAAATGTGAGTTCAAGCTGGTTGCCAAGTGTGCGTTTTTCCTCATTAACACACTTTGATACAAGCTCCAGGGTGGTATCTTAGGTTCCTTGCCCTTTCTCTGGGGTGGCCATATCATATCAATAAAGCTGTCCCTTGCAGTAGCACTCTCTACACCTCTTGCCTCTGATCTTCCAAACGAGAAGTCAGGGAGCAGAAAGAGGTCACAGCACAATTTTGGAACATACGGAGAGGCAGAGGAAATTGGAAATTTATGGCAAGTCTCATATCCATAGACCTGACTCATCACGGCCTTAGCTGCCCCCAGCCATTTCCAAGTAGGCAGAGCAGTACAAAATCAATTTGGCCAATGCTCATACCGTGAGCTGCTATTCTGGCTCTTCCAGAATGGGAGGGAAGGAACTTGCAGGTCTGGCCATCTTGGGATTTTCCTGCCTCTTAATACAAGAGGTCAGAGAACGCCTTAACAGCCAGGAGATGCTAGAATGACCTACCTTTCCCTCCTGTCCTGAAAGATGGAAACTGTTTTTCTTTCAGACATTTCCCTACTCCTCCCACATTTGTAATTACATGTGTAATCCAATAGTTTGAATAAAAATAGCAATGATTCCCCCCCCATATTTGCTCATCGCAGAGCTCAATCCCATGCCTGACTTACCGTGGGAAGAGTTCGGGAGGCTGGTCCCACACTCCTGATTTCTGCAGTGGAAACAAATAAAAATAAATAGATAGATAAATAAATAAAGCCAAAAAAGCTACTGGTGGGGATCTGAGGTGGGAAAGATAAGAGAGAGAAAACCTGGTCAGGATACACTGCACACATGGAGGAAGATTTTATAAAACACGTGAGTGAGTTAGGAGCCCAAGTCCTCTTTATAGGGCTCTGACTCCTTATTCACTCATGTTTTGTGAAGTCTCACAATTCACAGCTGCAGATAACGAATACCTTGAATTCTGTGGTGAGGGAGCTCCCTACACCACAGTCTCCCTCTTCCCCATGGACATCTGTCTCTGCCTTGGAGAAGAAAGGAGATGCTCCAGATCACAAAAGTGTCATGTGTGAAGAGCACAGCAAACAGTCTGACCTACATGTCACCCTGCCAGCACAGCCAGAGATGCCCCCCTCACACTGCACGCACACCCTGGTAATGACTTCATCTTCAGTGTCCTCGCCGGCTTCCTGCAATCCACAAACTGCAGTGCTACACTGTGCAAACACCTTACTCTGCAGCACATATTGCTCAAATGTGGACCAGCCCGACAGAGCTGAGCCCTGTGGTCCTTTATCCTTGGCCAGTGTGTAGTGAGAAATCACTGACAGCTGTGGTGACCTGTTAAAACATTGGTTTTAAGGATGGCAGCACACAAGAAGGTCATGTGTGGCTACTTTTATTATTTTATTCTGACTGGGGAAGTCAAACAGCTAAATTGGAGGATGTCTTGGACAGAAGTGTAGAACAAAGCTCAGACTTTCCAGACCTCTAATGGGGCTAAATTGCTCTCTCACTGTATTCTGCAGGCTCATTGCTAATATCTAGATCTATCCCTACCAGCTTGCTTCTGGGGCCAGAAGGCAACCACTGACTTAGAGGGTCACTGTTGACCTAGAGGGTCTCCATGCTTTACAGTCCAAGGCCTTCTGAAACCACAACACAAGATGTAAAAGTAAAAAAAAAAAAAAAAAGAAAGAAAAAAAAAAGTTCTTTCAGACATACAGATGCCTTCAACGTCACAGTGACTTGGAACCAGTGAGCAGGTCTGGCACCCTTCTCATCCTTTTACAAGACTGAGAAGTAACATTTTTGCTCTCCCTCATGTTCTCATCTTCAACCAGTTAATTCCCCTGGCAGCAGCGATAGGTCAAGTGTTTCCCACCTAACATACCATTAGTAAGTACCAGACTGGAGGCTGCCTGTTCCTACCTATGACCTCAAAGCAGCTTTGTTAATAATTACTTCTCTCTTGGATGTTTGCATATAGGCATAGCTCACAGTCAGTCTCCTTCTCATCCTTGGTTGCCAGCACCCAACCCAGCTCAGCCCTTCTTTGAACTTGGAAGAGGTGCCCTACAAGGCGTCTCTCCATTCTCTGAGGGGAGAAGGATGGCATCTCTGTTAGCTGGTCACCCCCTCCCAGTCCAGCCTGATCATTCCATGGTCCTACTATTAGCAGAAAGAAGTGCTGCCTCGGAGCCACCAGAAATCAGGCTGGGAGGTCATGGAGAAAAGGAGTGAACTGAAGGGCCCCTGGTGAGCAAAAAGAGAGAGAAATAAGAGGGCTACAGGCACAAAAGCAGTCCTCAGGGGAAGACAGCCAGGCACTGATGTTGATTGTCAAGGGCCACCAGAACAGGGGCACAGATTGGGTGAGAAAGGCCAGCAAGAGCAGTGCTAACAGAACCCCTTAGCCCAAAAGGAAGGAGGACAAACATGAACCCTTGGAAGTCATTTTTCTTTCTCAGCAGGGCTACGTGGAAGAGGTGTGACTTGAAGGGTGAAAGTCAGCACTGACAGGAAGATATGTCTGTCTCCACACACACTGGTCACCCTTCCCACACTCACCTTCGAATGTGAACCAGCTGGGGTTGCTCCCCTACTCTGGTGACTGCTGGTACCCACTGAGGTGGGAGGTGGGCTCGGCAAATGGGCCTGGGTAGTGGTTGGCCAGTAATTGCTAGAGGAAGGAGTGCTGGGACGGTCCAGGATGTCATCCATACTGTGACTGCTTCGGAGGGGGAAGGACCTGACAAGAAGAGAAGACAGTGGGGTGAGAGTCAGAGTAGAGCAGGAAACGACAGTGAACACAGTGCTAGCCATGGCTTGTCTCTATGTGACCTCTCTGAAGAGGCTTGCGCTGAGCCAGCTTTGAGAGGATACTGCCCGTGTTGGTGGAGTCATCTTGGGTAAGCCTGTGAGATGTCTAGGGCATGGCCTACAAGACCATCTGCAAATGCTCCAGCATGGAGCTATAGCTCTCCAGCAGGCACAACCCCACAGGCACTCCACTGATGCGACAGACCAGCAAGGAGGCATTTCAATTTCTCCCTGGCCAGTTACTCTATTACCTGGTGGCTGGTGCCTCTGAGTCCCTTGTATCCTCTAGAGGCTTGGCATAAGTTTCAGGGAACCATCCGCATCTAGAGCACAAAAACAGAGAAGAAAATGAGCTCCAGGCAACCTTTGTGGTTCTTCAGATCCTACACATCTGAAGATCTTACTGATCTATACCCCCCCTACACATTGTCTGTGTTGCTACTACAGCTACATCATGTGGTAGTGTTTCAGCATGTATTTCACCCTCGATAGAGTTCAGGGTGAAAAGACAGTCCTTGAGAAGCCATCAAGACCTTTGTCCTGTGTCTAGCAGACAGCATCACTTTCAGCACTTGGACTCCCAATAACCAAACACAGAGATATTTGCTCAGCAAGGCAGATGAGGCAAATCCCCTGCTGATTGATAGCTTAGCCTTTCTCTCACCTCCTTCAGGGCTTTCTACACATACTTGGAGCAGGTTTCCTTATCACAGGGGTTGAGCAAGATCACTGCTTCTGGAATGCAGATTAGCACAGTCCAGACAGAGACACTCTCACTGTAAGCAGTCATAAGGGACTCAAGCCCAGAACACAAGGAAGATTGGGAAAATCCCCTTCCCCCAAGCAAAATGCAGCCCTCAAAAAACAAAAAGATTGCTGTTGTTCATATTGCCCCCAAGTGTTGTGAACTTCACTGCAGACCATGATGCTCAGATCCCACATGAAACAGCAGGATTGGCAGAGAGGTGTTGGCCAGCAACGTATCTGTGGAGTAATTCAGTAAATGCTGGGTGCAGGAGTTTCCATACACTGCCTGTGCTGGAAGGTGCAGCAGCAGCTGACGTGTGAACTGAGAAACATCAGGCCTCTCGGGTAACTCCAGCAGGACATGGCCCAAGCTGGGTCCCATGACAGTAATCACTTAAAGAAGACTGGAGAGGGGTCACTGGGTTGCTGGCTTTCCTCCCTAGCCTCCATAGGGCCTTCTCGGGCAGCACATCCTGCTTTCACCCGACCCCAGCACCTCTCCTTGCTCTGAGAGTCAACCAGGTCAATGGTCGTGGCACGGCGGGAATGCTGAGCATGGCACAGCAACACAGGCCTCGCTGGGCGGGGAGAAAGGAGGCCATTTCCTGTTGAGGTCTGCAGGCTGTGGACCTGACAAGTCTGTATAAGCCCACTAGACCAATTTATAGCACATAAGTCACCTACGTGGAGGAGCCTTCCAGCTTGCCATAAAGCCAGCCGTTCTGCGCTTCTGGAATCAGCACTGTGATGACGTCCCCGAGGTCAAACCGCAGCAGGGTCCGGTTGGTACCCGTGGCATGGGGCACAATAGCCTGTACTCTCACCATGTTGCTTCTCTTCCTGCCTTCGCTGCTGCTGCCTTCCCCAAAGGAACCAGAGCGGGAAGTACGGCCAGTAGGGAGCAAACCTGAGGTGAAGCATCAGGCGAGTCTAGCTGAAGTTCAACATTCTGCAAGGCTCACGTTGCTTGGAAAGGACCATCACTTCCCTGATGCAGTAATTAATCTACAAGATATTCTACAGGCTTTCTCTTGGGGGAGAAAGCAAGACACAGACGGTTAAACACTGGTCTTGCAGAAGAAAGTCAACTCGTGCTGAAAACCCCTTGCTTTGCATTACACCCTCTCTGGCCAAACATGTAGGGCGCAGGCACTGCCTGCTCCGGTGACTGGTGGATGGGCTGCTTCCTGGCCCTGCGAGAGCAGCTGGGAATATGGGTCATAATGTCTAATCCAGTAGCACTGAGGCAATACACATTCGCAAAAGGAAACTCCACTGAGAACCAGCCATCCTGGTCTAGGGAGCCCTGAAGGCTGCACATCTGTGGGTTCTCCACCTTTCACACACGCTGCTGGGGAAGCTCGCCTTGTCCTGCATGGATTTGAAGGGTTGAACTCAGTACCCCCCACTTTGGTCAGTGTCTCAGCAGTCTGATGGAGAGTTGTGATCCTTCCCAAACCCAACCCAGGCTGTTTACAGAGGCTGCTCCTGATGAACATGGGTCTTACCGACAGACGGTGTCCTTTGCAGGAGCTGCCTGGGGGGATCTGGTTGAGGAGACAGTCTCATTTCTGGAGGCTCCTGAGAGAAGACACTGGATCTACTCCCAATCATGGGAGATACAAAATCCTCAAGGGGTCTCTGGGGCTGTTGGAAGGAGAGGAGGTCAAATGCAAACTCTGTAGAGGATATGTCATGAGAGAGAGGTTCTGAGATATACATAGTCCTTCTTGGAAAACAAAACCCAGCATATTCCACTACTGCAGCCTAGACACATGCTTCCCTTATTCTTGCCCAGGAAGGGCCACAAGCACCACGTACATCCAGCCCCAAGGACTGGGCTTGCCCTCTGCCGTGCAGCTGGGCAGGGGCAGCCCCAGCCTGGCTGCGCTGAGGCAGGGGCTGCCTGCCTGCTCTCACCATCTCGAGGTGGCTGGGCGTGAGCCGGCCTGATGGGTAGCCCTGGCCATGGGAAGCGGTGAGGAGGCCGCCCGAGGGGTTGCGAGTGGCCTCCAGCTGCTCTTTCCACTGCGGCACCTTCACCTGGATCATGCTCCGGGCCTGGGGAGAGAGAGGGAGAGAGGCGCTGATTGAAGGTCTGGGGCGGAATAGCTACAGAGGGAGCCAAGGGCTGCTGACACATGGATTAAATTAGGGACCGTGTCTTTCCACAGTTCAGTTTGTGGGAGTGTCCAGCACATAACCCTCCAGTGGGACCCCCTGTGCGCCCAAAGATGACTTGCTGCCACAAACACCTACCTCACTCCTCCTCTGCCATCACTCACACACAGCTGTCCCCTTGCAAACCCAGTCATTGCCCTCCCCTGCTCTGGCCCCAGCCTCCTCTCCCACAGCCCAGGACAGCCAGCCTACACTCCACCACAAGAAATGCAGCAGTTTCCTGCCCAGTCCGTGCTTAGACTCTCCCTTCACCCACAGGGCTGCCCAGCGCCAGGGTCCTCCTGCCTGCCATCCCCTCCAGCCCCCCGACCCCCCAGGCCATACCCTGCTGTAGAACTGGAGGAGGGTGTTGGAGAGCAGCTGGTGCTTTTCAGCCAGGAAGCGGTAGCGGCGCTTCTCTTCCAGTTCAGCAGCTCTCTGGCTCTCGGACACGAACGCCTGCATCTCCGAGCGCAGCTGCATCACGTTCTCCTGGGCCACGGCAGGGAAAAGAGAGGGAGGGCCAGGTCGTCAGAAACCTGTCAGTGAGCTCAGCTAGGCACGCAGGGGGGCAAGGATTGGAAGGGGTGGTCACGTCTACCAGCTTCCCAATCTACTTGCAGTGCTGGAGCAGCACAGCAGGGCCAGGACCAGGTCCTTGCACATTTAAGTTTGCTCAATGAGGTAAAGGTTTGGTAGATTCTACACAAATGAGTTCCACAGGTCAAGAGCATGTGCAGAAAAGGAGGTTCCTCCTGTCCAGGAAAACCCACCACCTTTTGAACTTTGCGAAAAAAAATCCGTTGGCTTCCAAAGAAGGATGAGGCTGCTCAGAAATCAGCCCTAGCTCTGGCAGAATAATCAGCTTCATTTTTTGCTATGCTTAGTGCAATCACGGCTCACCTTCATTTCCCGCGCCTTTTTATCACGAGCCCTCTCCATTCTCCACAGCTCTGTCATGCACTTCTCCAGGCTGCTGGCTCTGTGCCGGTACTCCAGCTCATACTGCTTTTGGCTCTCCTGCCAGGAAGAAACCAGGCACGGTGAGGAACCAGGGCTCCAGGCTTGCTGGGGCACAGGGGTGGCTCCGCTATGGTGCGTGACAGATTATTTAATGCCTCCCTGAAAGCAGACATTACCTGAACTCCTTGGAAGAAAGAGAAAGAGAGAGAGAGAAAGAGAGAGAGAGAGAGAAAGAGAGAGAGAGAGAGAGAAAGAGAGGGAGAGAGAGAGAGGGAGAGAGAGAGAAAGAGAGGGTGAGAGAGAGAGACAGAAAGAGAAAGAGAGAGAGAGAGAAAGAGAGAAAACAACTCCAGCCCCTTTCTTTTTCTTCTTTATTTTGAAGGGCTTTACAGCACTGTCAAGCCTCAAGATTATGGAGCAAGAACCAGATTCCCATTCCTGCCGCACTGGAACAAGTCCTGGGCCTCTCTGTCTGTGATGCTTCGTGCCAGCATAGCCAGTATGCCCACAATATGGCATAAGCCAACATAGAGGAGGACCCAAACTCATGTAAAGCTGTGGAATGGAAAGGTCAGAAGCTCTAGGATCAGTACCTGAGTGCCTCAGCCCTACTGAAGCGCTGTGCAAGTCCCACCACACAGGGAAGAGCCACCTGCCCTTCTCAGCTAGAGCAGAGCTGCATGGCCCATGAGGGTAGAGGGAGAAAAGCCCTTTCCCCACCACCCCCAGCTCTAGAAATCTGGGCAAACCCCTCAGGAGCTCAAGAGAAGGCTGTGGGTTGAGGGGAGAAGGAGACAAGCAGGGCTGAGGAGGGAAGTTCATCACTCACACTAATGAACTGCACGTCCATTTTGGTGTTCTTCTCCATGTGCTGCAGCAAGTCCACGTGGAAGGTCCGAGTCTGGAATAGGCAGAGAGGGCAGACGATGGGGCAGCTGGACAAACACTGGCAGCCTGTGGGTCACGGCTCCTTCTCTTCCCTGCCTGCAGCAGCTCCCAAGAAAGCCACTCACCACAACGTCTAAATCGGAGTTCAGGAGTCTATGTGTGTTGGACATCTGCACCAGAATTTCACCTTCAGGGAACGAGAGAGAAGATGATATAAAAATACCAGTCGCTTCCTTGTGCTCCCACAGAGGTAGAGCAAAGTGGCCATTACGGGGCCATGCCAGCAGCATGGGATTCAACAGCCTGATATACAGGTGTGAAAGTCCAACAGACAGTGCAGCACGCTGCTCTCTGCACCCTGATAATTCTCACACAATCTGCACACAATAAATCTCATTCTCGCTGCCTCAACAGGGCCTGGCACTGTGAGTAACCATGTAGAGGATCTGTCTTCTTCCCTCCCAACACACCTGAAAACGTAGAAGCTAAGGGACAATGCCAAAGAACCCATCCCAGGGCAGGGGATGACCCTTACCCAGCACTTGTGAGGTGGAGCTCTGCAGCGCTTGCTCCCCAATCTTCTCAATTGCTTTAAAATAGACTTCGGCTGCTTTAGATAACGCTGCAAGTAGAGAAGCAGGGAGGTTAAGGATACAGTCTGTCTCTCAGCCTCACCAGCCCCCAAAAAAGCAGGGCCACCCCATCTCTCCCCCTCTGCACCTAACAGCAATAACAGGTCCTGGAGCAGAATAAAAGTGCGTTACAGCAGCTCAGGACATGTCGCAAGGGGAGACCGGTGACCTTTCCCAGGTGACAGTGCCCCCTCCTGATGAACAGAGGATACCCAGGACAGACAGAGCAGCTGGGTCTTGGGCCTGGGCCGTGCAGGACAGCACTCACCATGGAAGGCGCGCAGGTAGTTGTTCCCCAGGTACACCAGGTTCTCCAGCGCAGGGTTGAACTCATCCAGGATACTCTAGCCAAGCAGAAGCAGGTTAATCCCAGTCTGCCCCGTGCTCCAAGGACCTCAGCAGGCTGATGATGCCCTCCTGCTGCAAGGCGTCTGGGGCCAGCAGGAACTCAGGGAGCTCCCTCGGCCATGGCAGCAGTTGGCCACATGCAAATGCACCCCGCATGTTGGAGATAACTAAGACCTTTGGCTGCCTCTAGTCCTCTCCAGCCAGCAGCGGAGCAGTGACAGAGGGAGGCAGTGCGCTGGGGAGCCACATCATCCCCTGAAGATCCTTTCTTCCAAGGCCTGCTGCATCTCCCCATGCTCACTGCAGGTGGGGGTTAACTGCAAGGGGACTCCAGGAGGAACCCTTCCCCCTGAGCCTGCTTGGGCGACGGCTCATGCTTCTTATCCAGGGATGAAAGTGTCATCTTCTGGACTAGGGTTTTCTACATCACCAGATTCCAGATAAGAGATGGGCTGGGCTGTTTTAAACAAGGATCTCAGCTTTTATCTGTCATATCAAAGCTTTTTATTGCCTACGACACAGCAAGTATAGACAGACAGTGGAGGCTGGAATAGGGAATTCTGCCTTCTCCCAGACCTCGCGGCCTTGCTGGAACATAGATCAGCACAGGGAAGTGTCAGCGAGGTACGGCCGCTCCTTCTTGCACAGTGGAAAACAGCTGGCTTGACTCCTGCCTCGTACACGCAACGCAGGCATGTTACCCTCTCCGAACACGCTGTGTCCAAGCCATCCAGGTAGTGCAACGTCTTCCTGGATGTGCCGTGAGCCCTGCACTGCGCTCCCCTCCCACCAGCGCTCTGCTCCCCAACGCAGCCCACGGGAGCTGCTCCAGGCCTGCCCAGGGAGGCATCCAAACCTCACCACCCACCCCCGGGACCCTCTGCAGCAAACAGCTCTTCCTCCTGACTGCCCATCTCCCCTTGGCAGCCCAGAGCAGCCTTCGGTGCCAGGACTCACCTTGTAGATGGAGATGGTGGATCTGTAGGACGGCTCCATCTCCCGAGCCTTTTTCCTCTCCCGCACGGAAGCGAGGAGCGGAGGAGAGCGCCAGGTGTTATACTGGCACGGAGGAGCCTGCTTCCACAGTGCCGCCTGGATGGAAAAAGTCCCTTGGTGGCAAGGCACGACAGCAGGAAGGCGCGTGCATGGTACGAAGGGAATGAAGCACTGATGGAGTTTAATAATTCACCAGCCAGGAGGTTGGAACTTGATCTCTGGATGTAACCAGACTCTGTGGAGAGAGGAATCCTGCAACAGCCAGCGAGGACATGTGACCACCCCCTTTAATTATTGATTGCTGCTCGAGCAGCCGCCCCTGGCCCGTCCCGGCACCTGCAGCGCCAGCCACCTGCCAGCGCCACCTCCTTAGGGCTTCCTGCCCCAGCGCTGCCGCCGCTCCGAGGAGGGTGCTCAGCCCCGCTCTGCACCGAGACTCTCCCATCTCCCACAGGCGGTGCAAGCTGGGAGACGCTGTCAGCTTCAGAGCGCAGGCAGCAATGAAAGAGCAGGGGGAAAAAAAAGTAAGCAAAGGTCAAAATAGGTTTAATTCCTCCCCTGCCCTCTATTTCTTGCAGTCTCAGCCTTCTGTGTCCTGAGCCGCTCTCCCACTCCTGGTCTCACTGAGGCTTCCTAATTTCAGACCCAAGCTGGCATCCAAGCCTTTCTGCTCCCCCTGCCTGCCAGGATCCTGCACAGTGTCATCCCAGAAGGTCTGCACAGATAGACCTACAAAGGGAGGGGAGTAGAAGCTGCAGGGATAGAGCAGAAGCAAGTGTCTATTCTCTCCACCCCAAAATGCAGTTTTATACTCAATATTCCTGCCAAGACACCTTCCCTCAAGAAAGCAAGCCCCTCCATCACATGAGGAAAAAAAAATATATATATATTTCCTCCATATTAATAACCCCTTTAGTCTGTAATGCCATTTGTGAAAATAAAGATCAGGAGGCATGCAATGAAGTTTTAGTCCTGCTCATTACTCAGTCAGTCCCCACAGTCAGCCATGGCCCCTAGGTAGCAGGGGGCACCAGGCCAGTCAATGTCACAGCAATTACCTCTTCCAGGAATCATTTTGGGGATGACAAGGGAAACCTAAAGGCCTAGCTCAAACTATTTGTATGCTGAGCGATTTCAGGGCTTCTTCTTAAGCCTGACCTAAGGCGAGGTGGATCCTCAGAGCAGAGCTGGCCAAAGCACTTCCACTGGGTGCAACCAACAAGCCAAGCCTTAAAAGTGCTGCATTTTGGAAGATAGCCAATGCACCCACACAACAGAAACAGGCCCAGGTCTGGCTTAAGGAACAGGTCCTTTCTCTCTTCAGTCCAGATAAAGGGCACCATTACACACCTTAAGGTCCCCAGTTTTTTCTTTTCCACCTGTAGAAAACACCCAGACTGCAAGCTTGGAGTCCCGTTGGGATCTTGCTGGATGGACAGAGACTAGACAAACATGGGCTGCATTACAGCAGAATTGAGTTTATTTCAGGTCATGTTAATTTTGCACAGAACCACTGCTCACAACATTATTCCATCCAGTCAAAAACAAAGTATTAAGAATTCACAGTTTCACTTTTTCTAAGTCCTTCTTCAGAACTCACTTGATAAATAAATCATTAATAAACACTGCAAAACTTGGAGTAATGCAGAAGTCAGCCATGATGAGGTTTTCAGCAGCAAAAGTTAAAAAAAAATCATATGGTCAGTTTATTGGTAGGAGTGATCTCAGAGCATTTCAATTGCACCTTAGGCACAAAGACAAACTATCAACTTACTGGTGACCCCCCAAGTCTCCCTGTGCAGCTAAGATACTGCCCCTCTTCTTAAGCATCATAACAAGTTAGAGGGCACAAAACAGTCATCAGACATCACCTCTGCTGGGGTCTGTTCCCCCCTCGAGGCACAATGAGAACCTGGGTTGCCAGCTCATCTGAGGGGAAAGGTTGTTACCAAATACAACCAATTCACAAAAGTTTTCCCCTTCTCTGAGGGCCAGTTGCACTATGCTGTGTCCAGATCTACTGGAGAAAGTTGCAAAGTTCTTACTCCCCTTCAAACAGAGTGTGCTGAAAGAAGAATCCCTTTATCCCTGTACCGCGCACACTGGAACATCTTAGGCCAAGCAGGAAAACTAATCCTCGAAGCCTTGTCTGCACTGGACTGTTTTGTGATGTGGAAAGGTGTGTGGTGCTGGGCCCTTAGAGGCGCTGCACAGAAAGGAGACAGTCTCCAACTGTGGGATCACAAGATAAGTGGGAGCAACAACTGCAGGGAAGGGCTGTACAGTCGCATCAGGGCAGCAAGACTGAGGGGAGCTTCTAGCACAGACACCAGAGACCGAGCAACAGCCCAATGAGAATAGTCCTCCACTCATGAGCCTTCCACAGCTGTCCTGAATACATGTGCATGTGTATCGTTGTGTTGCCTTTACAATATTAACTCCCACTTAGTAGTAATCCTTTCCCTCACCCCAACATCTTGGTTCAAGAGCAAGTCACATCCACTCCAGTGACACAGGGGCGCAGAGCAGGCAGCTCCAGGTGGGTCACCGGGCAAGGAGGTGCTGCACCAGCTGCTCAAACTGCTCCCGCTGCTGGTAGATGTAGAGCTGGGTGTCCCAGAGGGCGTTCACCAGCACCGTGTCGTTCACCTCGTCCAGCATCACGTCCGTGTGCAGCTGCGGGCTCAACCTGTGTGTACCAGGACAGCATCACCAGCTGGGCAGGCACCAAAGCAACAAGGCAGCAAAACACGCTCAGCACGAGACAAAACACACACACACCGCCGGCTCCTGCTCCCAAGGACTCTCTTTCCCCTTTATCTGGGAGGCTTGCAGGGCAGGGCCATGGCCTTGCCTCTCCTTCAAGGACCAAGATGCCACTGATAGTAAACCCTGCTTCAGCAGCTGACACTATTTCAGACAGGTCTGGGCAGGCCACCCTCTGGTGAGGGCAGGATTTGGGATGACTCACGCCGCAACCAGGTCTGAAGGGAGAGGGCTAAAAAAAGCTCTCTGCAGGACGCAGGAAGGAAGCTCTTACCGGAAATACGGGACATCTGTCATCTCACACCAGGCCCTGGCACGCTCCACAGCGGGGCCATCTGCGTCGGTGCACTGCAGGGGGAGAGCGTGGTGAGAGCCCGCTGTGACACTGCTCTGCCCCGGCCGCGAGACACCGCGCTGGCGCCAGGACGAGCGGCACAAGCCACGCGGGGAAAGAGAGAGCCAGGAGCAAGGGCAGCCTGGTTGGCAAAGATGCCCAGCACAGAAAAGAGCAGATTCCCCTAAAGAAACCACTGAGATGATCCAGATCAACTCCTTGGTACTATCTCCATGCACTGATGTTCCACAAGCTCAATCTCAGGAGAGCCCACAGCTGCTGCAGGGCTGTCCTGGGACAATTTCCCACAGAGGCCTGACATAAAAGACAAGGGAGGCAGATGAAGCCTCCAAGGTATTTTCTGGCTATAGGAAACTGAAAGAAGATCAAGCAGCAGAATTAAATCTATAGCCAGAACCTTAATTCTGATCTTTCTGGCTTTCATTCGCTTGTTTTCATTTGTAACATCTCAATGAGCTTCTTTCTGAAGCTTGCAAGAACATATACCTATTACATTCCTAACCATGGTGCCAAAGTACTGCTTTTTACTAGTGCCATTCTCACTTTTCTAACACCAGCTTATTCTCACAGTGGCAGTAACAAAACTTTCCTTAAGGCAAGTGATTTTGCTTTCTGAGGCTTGATATTTTTGGCTAGGTTGCTCAGATGATGTTTCACACCTCCAGGAAGCAGTACCTGGGAGTCTCATGAATTAACTTCCTAGGGTGCACAGACAACAGCCCTTCCTGCCTGTTAGCTGCTGTGGGAAGCGCATCCTCCCTGTGCCTGAAACACTTGCCAGGCAGGCAGGGCTTCAGTCCCACCTGCTCCAGCAGTTCTCAGGTCACCAACTACTACAGCTGTTCCTTGAACTGGTCGTGGTCAGAGTAGTTCCAGGAAAATAGTTTCCTTCCAAAGGAAGGGCCTAAGCATGGGACACCCTTGCTCCCGCTCACAAGCACACACAGGGCTCCTTCCCACCCTTCCCTGCCTCCCGGTACTCACACAATCCACCACCATCTTGCCGAGCTCCCTGGCCCCAAAGACGGTCTTTGCCAGCTCCCAGGGGTTGGAGGGGCGGAAGACATCCACGGAGCTCACTGGCACCTGCGGAGGCTTCCCGGTCCCCAGGGAAACCACCAGCCCCAGTTTTCTCACCTTCTGCTTCTTCCCCTGCAGACAAACAAAACGTGCTTATAAAGATCAGCAACTGAGGTGGAACACTTAGGGAGGCTCTATAAGACATAGCAAAAGGCTCAAAAGCCTCCTCTTACTCAGCCCACAATCTCCTCTCTTTAGGACTGCCTGGCAAGACGAGCATAACCTAGGGGCCTTCATAAAGCAGCACTCCCACCTTCCTGCCCCTTGCTACACATCTCGAGCTACAGCCACCTGCACGTTGCAGCTACATCCAACTCTACTCCCAGAAAAATCCTGGGAGTAGACAGCCATGAAATGATCCAACTCCATCAGTGACAAGGGCTCAGTATCTGTTGGGGAAAAAATCTCCCACCGTCCCAGCTACAGGGCGCAGTTACTGCCTTTAAGGAGCAGAAATCTCCTTAAGCCAGATCGCAGGGCCAGGACTTCCCTCACCTTCTTGATCAGCGTCTTGTTGTACTCGTGGATTTCCGTCATGGCATCAAGGGTCGGGTTGTTTGCCAGGAGCCCACCATCCAGAAAGCGGCCTATGGGCCGGAAGTAAGTGGGAGCTGCCCCGCTGCAGCGGGCAGCGCGCCACACCAGCTGCTCTGCAGAGAGAAAACAGCAGAGGGGACTCTTTCTGCCCATCTCCCGCGTCACTTCAGGCAAAGAGCATCCCCTACTCGCTTGTGCGATGCCAAGCGGCCAGGAGGAAGGTGCTTGTGATCTCAGAAGATTCTGCACCTCTTCTTTCCAGCAGCAGGGGCTCTGCTTAGATATGCAACTCTGTTTTAAAAAGATGTTCTCATCACTTTCCATGTACCTGGGCCAAATTCACTACGATGAGTGTGATCCAGTTACGTTTGCTGGACAAAAAGCAGCAAGCTGAGGACAGCTGCATGCCTTCAGTTACGTAGCCTTTTCATACTAGCCAGCTCCTGAGGAGGCAAGGAAATGTACTCACCTCCTCTGGCAAACTTCATTCCCAGTGAATCTCCTCAGCCTGCCCCTATTCATAATATAAGAGGGGGCAAGAGAGGAGGGAAGAGGAAAAGAGAATCACCTCTAGGATCAAGCTACTAAGTCAAGATCAAGGATTAGCCATTCCAGAGAGACCCTGATTTTCAGAGCAAGAGGAAAAGAAATCATCAGTGTCCTGTTCTCAAAGGAAGGACCCTCACCAGTCAGCCACCTGGACTTCAGGATGCCAGCACTTACCTTCTGGCTGAGTCAGTGGTTTGAAAGATGCCGTGGTCTTGTACTCTGTGGAGATTTTTGTCTCGGGGACAGGATAATTGCGGAAGAGGTGGAGCTCAGCTGGCTGCCGGTCACACAGCGTCCCGGTCACGATGACCCTAGGGGGACAGGACATGACAGAATAAGGATAAAATGGAAAACAACACACTTATGGCTCCAATTTCCTGCACATCACATTCCTCCAGATCTGTTCTAAGAGGCTGAACTCAGTACTCTTGGGAAAGCATCAATCAGTGCCACCCCCTGCAGGACTTACTTGGGTTTTCGGACATCTGTCATTTTGGTGTTTTCCCCAAATTCCTTCTTCAAGAATTCATCCAGGGGCTCTGACTCGTAGGGCCGAGACCCCCGGAACACCATGTCCTTCATGCGGAAGTACAGGCAGCGCATGTAGTCCATGGACTTCCCTGAGACAGGCAACCAGGCAACAGCGTCAGCAGGAGCACAGAGTGACAGGAGAGGCAGGCAGAACAAACAGAGCATCAGAGAGCTTGGACCTTCCACAACCAGTGGACAACGGGAAGCGTTGTTCCCCGTCCCATCCCTTCCCCTGGCTGCCTGTCCCAGCAGCACTGGGAAGATTAAACAGAAAGGACAAGATCAGAGCTTTGCTTCCCACCACCGGAGTGCCGGAGACCCTGCCGCAGAGCCACCTTGGAGAGGGGGAAGAACGGCACTCCTGCACCGTACACCTTCCCCAAAGCCAGAAAGCTGCTCTAGACCAGCTCACATGAGAAGCAAGCACAAAAACAAGACTCAGGCTTTCATTCATGAACGCCCCTTCCCTTCTAAACAGGGCAAGAAGCCTCAGTCTGCATTCTTGGGGCTGCTTCCGACTCCTATCTCCTGCTCCCCGCAGGCGGAGGAGCGCTGTGCCCCACGGAAGGGAAAACGGGCCCCGTCACTTGCGCTGCCCTCACCGTGTACGATAGCCAGGGCCAAGATCCCCCCAGTGCTGGTCCCCGCGATCCAGTCAAAAATCTCCCGAACGGGCCGGCCCGCAACCTTCTCGATAGCCAGGAGGAGCTGGATGAGCACCAGGCCCCGGATGCCCCCTCCATCCAGGCACAGGAGGCGGTCTTGTCTGCATAGAGAGAGACAAGGCTCACAGGGGCTGTGGCACTGCTTACAAAACCACAGTACAGCACATGGGAACACAACCCACAGCGTGGGGGAACCAGAGCAGTAACAAAAATGCTGCTATGGACAAAAGAATCGGCTCATTCATAAACCCAGCAGTGCTTTCTCAGATCCAGGTAGGACTGAACCAAGTAGGCCCATCCTGAATATGGCCAAATAAGCATCATATCTGGGGCAACACTGCTTGATCTTTTTCACATCTCTAACTTTGCCCTGTATTAGAGACATTTGCAAGCTAGAAACATTGTGCAATAAGGGACTTGCACGTGATGAATATTGCCTTGTGAACAAAAAGAGATCCCTAGCAGCAAATGCTAGCTAGCAAATCCGGTCTCTGACCACCCCAGTGCCAGCCCTCCCTTCGCTTCATCCCAGGTGATGTGGAGACACTGCCAAGGCAGTGCACAAGCTGGCAAAGCTGGATGATCATCAGGGCAGCACAGGGAGATAAGGAATCACTAAGCCAAAACAGTGGTAACCTGTAGCAAAGGGGAGGGATGGAGCACAGGTTTCATCTGCTGAGTTCAGGCTTCACTGAAGCTCCAGAGCTGTGAGCAGAAACAGAACTTGCTTACAAGAATGGAGACTTACCACAACAGGGAGGAGGAGGAAATTCTCACAAAAAAAATGCAGTATTGAAGGATGCTAAATAACAGCAGCTGTCTGAAACATGTGGGTGGGGAGGAATTCGTATACACAGCTTTCACCTGCAAGCTGCACAGAAGTCCATGCACAAGCTGCCTCTTACTTACTTTCTCCCTCCCTCGCTGGGTGAGTCCACAAAGTCTGGTGTCTTAAACAACTGTCCAACCACCGTGGAAACATAGAGAAGGTCTTGGTATCCTACAGGGCCATGAATGTGCAAGAGGAAAAACAAATAAAGATTTCAAAAAAGTGAGCGTGCACAAGACAGACAGAGATGCAGGCATCTTTACAGCAGCTATAGAGGAAAGGGACTCAAAACTGGTTTTCATTTCATCTGCAGCAGTAGGATTGCAAAGAGCAGAACAGGGCTTCCTCCTGACCTTGCCTACTTTACTCCCACTATGTTCCAGATGCTCCTCGCAAACCCATTCCACCACTGCAATGTTGACATAAGAATCACTTTTATCCTAGTGATACCACTTTGCTATCTGAGCCCTCTTGCAAGCACTTCCAAGCGATATTAGTCCAAATTACAATGAATTAGAAAACCCTGTTATTTCTTATTTTTTCTCCTTTGCCCCAGAAAATTGCCCAGAATACCCTGAACTTCCCACATCTGTAGTAAATGACTTCTACCATAATCACACAGAAAACATTTAACTCCCCTCTCCATGGGATAAAACTCCCTGCAGGGGACATGTCTCACCCACAGCCACCAGATACCCTGCCCTTCTCCTCCCCAAACTCAAGCCACACCAGAGAGAAGCAGCCCCATCCTGGAGGGCAGACACCTGCAGGTGCACTGGCAAAGAAGAATTTGTAAAAGCAGATGGGTAGGTGAGAGGGAAGGCAGAGCCCAGCAGCATGCCCTCTATGCAGCTTACTGCAAGCTATGGGGCAAAGCCTAGGCCTACTCCTGCAAGGTAACCTAGGCAGGAGAGCTCTGGGGGCAGGGTGGCTTCTCACTACCCCTCTGTTGATGCAAGCCCAGGCCGTCCCGCATGTGGGGGTCCAGTCCGACCTAGGTGAGAGGCCGGCCTGTGAAACCAAGAGAAAAGCAAAACAAACCAACCAACAATAAAAACAGGGGAAGAAGTCAAATACTGCTAGTGCCCAGAATGAGAACGTGGCCATAAATTGCACAGGAACATGGTAAGGAGTTTCTTCAAGGGCCACAGTCCATGTCAAAAAGGGCTTTACTCTGTCAGTGTGTCAGAGTTAGAGGAGGCACTTTCACAAAACCATGGCCTGAAGACAGTTCTGGTGGGATGTGGGGAGACAGACACACTCCAGAGCTGAGGGAGGCTTCTTCTTTAGCCTCAAAGAGGGCCCTTTGCACCAAAGAGCACCAAGCTGAAAGAAGCACTGGACCAGAAGGGGCTGTTATTTCCTCATGTGTCCCCTTTCGATTCACCCACACAACCCACACAGTAACTGCCTACACTGCCTCAGCCTGAGCTACAGAGCTTGCTGGAGGAGGATATCCCAAACAGCTAATATAGGCCCATGGGCTTATTCACACAAACTGCATAGGTGATACAAAGCATGAGCTACGACACAACCAGATGTCCTGAGTTTGGCTCTTCCTATGCATAATGTCAACTCAGTGCCCAGGATGACTGCTCCTTAAACTGCATCCCTTCCTTCTCCAAGCTGATCCCCAGGATCTGAATGAGACACTTCTAATTTCCTTGTGCCAGTTGATATGACACTGAGCTGTCCTCCAGGAAGACCAGCAAGCTCTTCCCCATCTGTACACGATCTAGTGGACAAAGGGCATAGAGGCAAATACAGCCTACACCACTTCCAGTGGGGTGAGGAAATCTGTTTTCCCTTTCCTCTTTACATAGCTGCACAGTGTCACGCCTATAGAACAAAAGCAGTTCACAGAGTTTACATAGTTGGAAAAAAACAGAGAGAAGAGCCCGAATCCTGCAACAGCTGAAGGAGAACAGTCACGAAAAAGTGAGAGCGAGAAGACAGCCCCCAGAATGCTGGCAGCCTGGAGAAGAGATCTGAGAGAGGACTGCAAAGCAAGATGGGGGGAGAGCAAGGGAGGGCCAGGGAAGGCATTACCTAAGCTGCTGAAGTTGCTCCGTGGGGGAGGCTGCCCTTCCAGGAAGAGGGAGGCCGCAGGTGGTGCTAGACATGGGGAGTCAGGGTTGGGTGGGTGGCAGCGTTCGGTCCCTACAGATTGCAGCAGGTCTAAGAGCACTTTCCGGTTCGCACCTTAGGTGACGAGGAGGGAGTCACAGAGATCAGAAAGAGAATCAGTGTATGCACACACCAGGGAGGGGAGGAGGGTGTGCTGCCAAATCCACAGCAGCACTGACCCTCAAAAAGCCCCTGGAATAACTCAGGGAATGGGAAAAATAGGTCCAGGATATCCCTCCCCTATGACTAGGCAGCAGGCCTTGCACCCAGCAGGGGCACCCAGCACTGGGCAGCTCCCAGGCTGCGTGTCACACACTTCTTGCTTTTGAAGAACAGCCCATGCTTGCTTATGCCTGGGTCTTCAGCAGCACTGCACCTCCCGCTGCGGGCCTGCAGCGCCCAGCACCACAGCTTGAAGAGCAGGAACATGTGCCAGCTTTTCCTCTTTCATCTCTGTCTCATAGAGGAGAAATTCAAAGACAATACAGAGTCTAGTCACTAGCTCAGGAAGCGCCTACACTACAAGCAACTGGAAGCTGGGAGAGCATCTCGGAGAAGCGCTGCTCATGTTTGGCCTGTTGTCACTACCCCAAGACACTGCTTTGGCCAACACAGGGGACAGGAGCCTCTGCAGGGCTGCCAACGTCTCTCACCTTTGCTGCTCCGCGCTGCCAACAGCCCTGGGGTCTCCCCAAAGTCATTAGGGATCTCCACATCCCCTCCAAACACAATGAGGGCTTTGATCATGTCTAGATGGTCTTGCTAGGGGACAAAAGAAAGCTTAGTCAAGGGGTATGCTCCCCTCAGCTGTATTATTTCTCCCTCCCTCCTCATTAGCTGAAGCACTCATAGGGGATCACCCAAAGAAATGCACCCACCACCTAAACAGTCAGGACTTCAAAGAAATGTGCCACTGCCTCAGCCCTTCAGGGGAAAAAATCTCCCTGCTCCCCAGCAGCCACTGCAGAAAACTCACCTTCATGGCCAGGTGCAGCGGCGTATTGCCATCCTGGCCCTTGGCGTTGGCGCAGGCCCCATGCGTGATGAGCACCATGGCGCAGTCGAAGCGGCCCCTGCTGACGGCGACGTGCAGGGCCGTGTCGGCGGTGCGGCTCGCGGCGTTCACCTCGGAGTCATGCTGCAGCAGCAGCCGCGTCAGCTGCGCCCGCGGGGAGAGAAACAGCAGCCGTGAGGGCCCCCGTCTGGGAGCTCGGACGGGCAAAGGGGCGAGCAAAGCAGGTGAAGGGGAGCAAGCCTCACGCTGGATGCAACTGCTAGGCAGAGAACTCCCTGGTGGTTTTCACAACCTGGCTAAAGCTTTCAAATATTTGGGGTTTTATACAGCTAAGCTCAATGAGGAGAACGGGGGCATGAGGAAACCACCATCAAGCAATCCTCACCTGGGCCAAAATCCCTGCAGATTGGAGGAAAATGTCTGCTTTTTGACCTTCTCCTCTTTATAAGCCAAGCAGACTTATGTCTGCTCAGTTCCTCCACTAGACACTTCCCAGAGGGATTTGCAGAAGAGAAATGGTCTTTCCATAGGGATGCTCTCTCCTTGAGATGAGTTCCATACTGGTGTTCCAGCACTGCCTATCACATCCCTCATCAGGCCATCTCTGGCAAGAGACATACAGTAACCCCCACACCACAGCTCTGTGCCTACCTCGCACTTCCTCTGCAGTTGTCAAAACATCCATTTGCTGCAGCCTTCCCTGAAACGGGCAGGTAGTGAGAGCAGAGCTCCCCCCAGGGGTAACTAGAGTCTAGCAACCAGGCTACAGTTCTTCCAGCAAAGAGAAAAGGTAGGAGCCGACACTTCTAAGAGTACAAGGATGAGCCAGTCAGTTCATTTCACTGCAAGGATCCACCACTCCATCCCCACAACAAGCAGCACTGATCAGGTCAGGGCAATGAGAATCAAACATCCATCCAACCACCTCTGCAGCAGGACTCCATTTTGGGCAGCTGGCTGAAGCTGGGCACTTCCAAGGCTCTACACATGCATGCAGGAAAGGGACAGGGCACTGGTGGAAGGAACTATGCAGCTGCCAGGGTGCTGAGTGGCGGCCCGGGCCCTTGCCAGGGCGCTGGCTCTATTTACCTCTGCGTTCTTTGCCCAGTGCAGTGGAATGGCTTCATAGCGAGGGTCCCTGGAGCGAACCTGGCTGGCATCTGCTTCGAGGATGGCCTGGGCACACCTGGCAGACACAACAACCCAGAGAGATCTGTGGGAGTCGTCTCCACTTCAGACCTCCGTTCATGCCGGCACCTGCCTCCCACCCAGAGCCTTTCAGATAACCCTACAGCTGCAGCATGCTCCTGGGTGACACCTTAAATTCCTCCACAGCAAAGCAGTCATTTCACTCTCTTCAAAAAGGAGCCTTCCTAGCACCAAGTTGTGGGGCTACATTGGGGTATTTCTCCAGTATAGGACTGCAGGGCTTCTGGAAGCCTTGAAGCTCAGACAATTCTCCTCTCTCACCTTTTCTCCAGAAAACTCTGGGGAAAAAAAGCTAAAGTAGGTAAATACTTACACAAATTAGAAGTCAAAAATGACTCCTATTTCTCCAAGGGGGGAGGCGTGGGAGGAGGAAGCACTAAGTCAACAACACTAAGTCGGTTCCAGAAAGCATTATTAAGGATGAGCAGTAACTTTGGCCCGCAAGAGAAAGGCGCAATGAAAAGCTTGGAACAAACCCTTACCAGCGACAGAGCAGTCTGAAAGATGGAGGTACAGCAGTACCAATATTGCTGAAGTGTTGCTAAACCAGCCCCTCACAGCTCACTTTGCAAGGTTTTCCACAAACATTATTTTTAGTTTTCTCTATATCTCTATGTAATGATCAGACATCAGGAGAAAAACAGGTAAAAAATAAAGACAACTTTCTGCCTTATTCTACCATACCAGCACATCTCCATTCTTCTGCCAGCCCAGCAATGCAGAAGACAACCCAGGCCACCTGCCTACCAAGCACTGGCCCCAGAATGATCCAGCCTTGAGCAACACAGAGCAGTGACAGATCTGCTGCAGAGAGGAAAAACCCTGTTCTAGCAAGGCTACTTACCCCTTCTGGGAGTACTTCAGAGCCACATGGATGGGATAGCCCAGCGTCCCTATGATGTTGCAGCTGGCACGACACTTGAGCAGAGAGTAAACCACATCCTCTTTGCCCAGAAAGCAAGCAAGATGCAGAGGGGTCAGCCCTTCATGGCTCAGGTGGTTCAAACCAACGGCTGGGGCTCTTCCCAGGAGCTGAGAGAAAGAGGGCAAAAAGTCATCCACCCACGCAGCAAAATAAAGACACAGAAAGCACTCACTTGTCTCTCTCCCCAAACTCTGAGGACGCTGGAGCATCGGGCTCCTCTGGAGCACTGTGTTCCTGACACCAGCACAGCCTGTCCTCTTTGCCCCTTCTTCCAAAATGGGAATCATGAAAGCGCACTTGGTTTTCTCTCTTGAAAGGAGAGCTGCATTTTCTGCTCTTTTCCTTTAGCCCTACCTGAAGCACTAACTGAAAGCAGAGATTTGATCTGCTGCTGTAGGCCCATCAATCACCATGGCCAGCTGGCAGCAGGAGCTCAGCCTCCCCTGCAGCCCCACCACTGCCTGCCACCACAAACAGGATTCTGTTTAAAATATACATGTGGAGAGATGTTTGAAGGGATTTTCCTGCCCCCCCCGCAACAGGTTTCACACTTGCTACTTGCCAAGTGGGCAAGTTACACAAAAATACCCCACCTCCACACTCAAGCAACCCTGCACAAGAGTGCACTAGAAAAAGCAGGAATTTAGAGCTTCCCTCTTCGGTTCAGGGAAAAACTGAGAGAAATGCAACAGACAAGAGACCAATTAGAACCAAAGGCATCTCTGAACAAAGAGCCAAGTTGGTATTAAAGTGAAATACAGGAAGATGATACCTGGTTAACACAAAGGTCCTGAGTGCCCTGCTCATCATCCCTCCCCAGTCACGCATGAGAAAACCCCATCGCAGTCTGGCTGGCAGAGATATCACAGCAGGCATTGGGCAACAGGAGGGACACGGGTGTGGGCAAGAGCCTGTTCCACATTCAGCGCTCAAGAACTGATGGCCGTAAGGAACCAGCGTGGAACGCCCCTCATGCCCTTACGAACCCCATCACTCTGCCCAACACCTTGCAGCACCTGAGAAAGCCCTGGGCTTCAGGCTGCATCTCCACTGCCTCTCCCCCGTGCAATGGCACTCAGTTCAACAAGCAAGATGCTGGGCTGCCAAGGAAGGCGCTCCGAGCTGGCAGGCACCACGTGCTGCCCCACCAGGGCCAAAGGCTCCCCTCTAGAGCAAGCAGCCAGAGCTAAAAGCCCTGTTGGCAGGGGACAGCCAAGAGCCTGAGGAAAAGCGGGACTAAGGCCTAAAGCAGATGACACTGAAGGACGCTTGGTAAAGAATCTGTTGCTCTATATCCCTGCCTCACTGCAGGCGGGAATTTGGGAAGCTGCGCCACCAGAGAGGGTGGAAGGGGCTGAACTCAGCAGCGAGTGCTCACGGGAGCAGCCTGAAGCACTTCAGCTGGGCAGCCCTGAGCTTCTCTCCTCTCTTCCCCCCTCACAGCATAGGGGAGATCCCTTTTAGCCCCAGCTTCGTAGCTCCCCCACCTCGATGATCTCGGGGCTGCTCCCTCGCACGGCGTAGTGGAACACAGTCTCGCCATTCCTGTCGGCGACATCGAGGCGCGCGTGGCACTCGAGCAGCTCCTGCAGGCAGGCCACGTCCCCCCGTCGGCACGCCAGGTGCAGTGGTGTGCAGCCCTCCTCGCTCTCCGTGCTGTTCACACAGCTGCGGGGGGAGAGCAGTCAGCAGGACACCGAGGCAGGGCAGCAAAGAGGGGCCCGCCAAGACTCCTTGGCGGCCGCTGCCAAGGTACCTTTGAGACCTGTGATGGGCCTGACTGGTACGAGCCACCAAGGGCCACGAGGAAGTGCTACCAAGCAGTGCCAGGCCTGCCACTGCTTCTCCCTGTGGCACAGCCTGCTGCCCTGCCTGCCAGGGTGTCTCCCACCATCCTCATGAAGGGGGGCTCAAGATGAGGCAGCAACCAAAAGGTGCTGCGATAAATCACCCAGGCCACTAACTCCTTGCAGATCTGCCCTTGCCTAAATGGATCTCTCCCAGGAAAAAGCAGAAAGGGTTGTGCCCCTCTGACGCATTTCCACAAAGCTAGGGCTACCCTACGTCCTCTCTTGTGGTATTCAGTGCCCCAAAACCCTCTGAAGGGCAGCTCCATGTTCTATTTGTGCTGCTGGCAAAGCTGTTCACTCCTTTGGCTCACACACTAACAGTCTAGGCTTTAATATCAATAGATCCAGAGACTGACAGTGAACTTAGAGAGGCCACCAGACACTCTTTGCTATCATTTCGGTTTTTCCGGATACCAAGGTCAGCAAAACTTGCAAGCTCAGCCACTGCAGTAACCGCAGGTGCTAAGTTTCTCCAAGCAGCAGCTCCCTCTGTACAGGCACAGCAATGCCCCGATCTTGCCTAAACTCCCCTCCTGAGCCTACTGCCCGCAGGGGCTCCCAAGTGCCTCTTGCCTCAGGACGTGGTTGTGCCGGAAGCTCTCATGAAGGCCGACCTCCGCAGCCACGTGGGCCACGGACCAGCTGGGATGGTTGCGGAAGCAGTTGGTAAGCTGCTGGAGAACCTCCAAGGGCAAGGGCTGCGTAGAGCTCTCGTAGAAGGGGCGCAGCTGCCTGGTATACTGCTCAAAATGCATAGCTGCATCTCCCTCGTTGATGAGCTGGAAGAGCCTGGGGGAAAGGCAAGAAGAAAGAAAGGCAAAGGCGAATGCAAGTCCTGCACAGAGAGAGATAAATGCCTCCCAACATTAGTGCTAAGGGCTTTCCTCTTCTTCCTTGTTGCATGGCAGACTCGCACCATGGGAAAGAGAGTTTGCCAGGCAGGCAGAGCAGCCTCACTCTTTCTGAGGCACATTAACTTTTGGGGTCAAGTACCCTGTGCTCCTGACTGTAAAACACAAAAAACTTTGAGCACAAGTGGATGTGTCTGTGGACGGATGTTGAGCCGCGAGGGCCTGTTACGTGGCTGCCCGCACCCCACAGCAGCTGAGCTCTGCCAGGTGACACCTTCCTCCTCCTTGCAGGCTATTCTGACTGCTCCTTGACCAGCACTCACAGGGACCTCCCATTTCTAGCGAGGCCATGAGTTGGTCAAACACTTCAGCCCACACCCACAGACCAGAAGCACCACCACAGCCGAGAGGCAGCAGCACTTCACATCTCTCCTTTGCCCGTGGAGCACCAAGCAGGCCAAGGCAGCCTGTCGCTTACCGGAAGGCGACCCGGGGCCTCTGAGGATTCACCAGGAGGCAATCCCAGGAGTGCGCGGAGCTGTTCCTGTACAGGACCATCTGGCCTTCTTCCCTCACGCGGGGATGGGCCGCATACTCTGCCACAGACACCTCCTTTACCCGGTAGGGGTTTGTGAATATCTGCGTGACGCTGTTGAGAGTGTCCACGAGCCGGCCGAGGAACTGCATCTTTCCACAGAGTGGGTCTGGGGGAACCCAGCTGCAACCTCAGCCAGGGCCAGATGGCCCCGTCCTACTCCCTGACCTCAGCAACCTGCCACAAGAAGAACAGCGAGAGCAAATGACCACCAGGAGCAAAGCCCAGCGCTACAAAGAGCTTTGATTTAGGAGCACTTCCTGGGAGAGCCCAAGCTGCTCCTTGTCCTTTTGCCTCCCACGACCTCGGGCTGGTGAAAAAACCACCCCTGCCCGGAGCCAACCCGCCTCGGGGA